TCTTATGATTTCTGATAAACGAGTGCGCGCGCATAAAATATGTTGCAGGGGGTGGCGGGGGGGGGGGGGGGGGGGGGCGGTGCCGGCTGGGCTGGGATGGCACGAATTCGCATTTAAGATGGGCGATGGGGCAGAGTCAGATGCAAATTACAATACGAAAAAGTGGACCGATAAAGCTGGGCGGGGTCTTAATTTTTCCACTGGAAAATAAAATTCGGTGCCCTGCGCCGCGCGTGACCACATCCACTGCTCGCGCAATCGCCCCACCCCTCGCCTGCAGGCTGGTTTGCAAAACGCGCGCGGTGGCGATTGCGATGAATGCTCGACGTGGGCTGGTCCATTTCTGCGGCCGCGCCGACCAGCGCACGCGCGCGCAGCGGCCAACTAATTTGGCGCGACCGACGCGGCCGCGGCGGCGCTGACCGCCGGGCACACCCCAGCGGGCACTTCGCTGCGAGTCGGTAACTTGGACGGGCGCGGCATCATGGCAACGTCGACAACGTAGACGCGACGACGACCGTCGCGATGCTGGCGACGACGTCGCCAACGACGACGGCGCGGCCATCGCGGGCGCCGATGCCGATCGCGCCGGCGACGATGACGGCGCCCTCGCGTCGGCGATGAGAGTTTTGGAAAGGGTCTGACGCGCGCGCGCGGCCGACGCGCGAGAGAGGCCCGCGCGGCATTCCCCGTCGCGGATCGCGCCCCCCCCCCCCCCCCCAGCGCGCGAGGGCGCGCGGCGCCGCGCGGCGCCAGAGGCCCGTTTGGCAGAACCCCGTGAACATGCGGAGAAACCTATAGTTTCCTCAAGAATTCGCAAGAGCGCGCGCATGTGTCTTTGAAAACTGATGTTGCGGAACCATGTGCTTCTATGTGCATTGGGCACGCGGTTTTGAAATTGTCACGAAACCAAAAGCTTCTGACACATTGCGGCACGCGCGCGCGACGACGCGCGCGCTTTCAGTTGCAAGGGTTTCTCGCGACGGCGCGCGCGCAAGGGCGCTCGAACGACTTCGACATGCGCGCGCGCGTGGCCCAGCTGGCCGCGCGCCGTGCAAATGCTGGAAAAACAAATTGCTTTCTTGAGAATTCGCAAGGGCGCGCGCGCGCGCTTTGTTTGAAGATCCGCGTTGCGAAACCCTGCGTGTTTTATATAATGTTTTAGACGCTCGATTGCGCAATCCTGCCGAAACCGGAGGTTTTTGAAGCATTTCGGCACGCGCGCGCCTCGTCTCATTCGCTGCAGAAGACTCTCGGCAACTTACGATTTTTGACCAACGAGTGCGCGTGCATAACATTTGTTGCAGAAGATGGCGGGGGGGCGATGCCGGTTGGGCTGATATGAACTCATGGATAGGATGGGCGGTGGGGCAGAATCGCATGTAAATTGCAATACTACGAAAGGAAGTGATCATCCTGGGGGTGGTGGGGGGTAAGAGTCCGTTCTCTGTTCAGAAAACAGAACACACCAATGCTCAACTCGAAGTTGCCCATTCCACTGCTCGCGCAAACATCGCACCCACCCACCCGCAATCTGGTTTGCGAAGCCCCATGCGGCGGCGATTGCGATGAGTGCTCGGCGCTGGCCGGCGCATCTCCGCGGCCGCGACAGCCCGCGCATGCGCGCGCGTGCGTCGGCCAGCTACTTCGGCGCGACCGACGCAGCCGCGGCGCCGCCGGGCACGTCCCAGCGGGCACTTCGCTGCGAGTCCGCGACTTGGGCGGGCTCGGCATCGCGGCAACGTCGACAGCGGTAGACACGACGATGATAGCAGCGACGCTGGCGACGATGCCGGCAACGACGACGGCGCGGCCAGCGCGGGCGCCGATGCTGATCGCGCCGACGACGACGACGGCGTCATCGCGGCGGAAATGAGGGTTCCGGAAAGAGTTTGACGCGCGCGCGCGGTCGACGCGCGAGAGCGGCCCGCGCGGCACTCTTTGATGCGGATCGCGCCCCTCAGCACGCGCGCAAGGGCGCGCGAATGATGTCGCCCTGCTGCGCGAGAGGCCATTCCGTGAAAACGTTGCAAAACCTATGGTTTTGTCAAAAGAATTCGCAAGAGCGCGAGCACATGCATTTTTTCGAAAACTGACGTTGCGAAGCCTTGCGTTTCGAATGTTATATAGACATCAATTTTGCAATTACCGCGCGAACGAATTTGCAGGGTGCCGCGTGCGCGCGCGACGACGCGCGCGCGCTCTTCGCCTCGTGGTTTGCAAATGGTTCTCGCGACGGCACACGCGCAAGGGCGCTCGGGCAATTCCGACGTGCGCGCGCGAAGCCCGTTTGGTAGCATGTTATGATGAACATGTAAAAGAAAAGTTACGTTTCTGAAGAAATCGCCAGAGCGCGCGCTTTTGTTTTGGTTTGAACACGCACGCTCGATTTTGCAGTCGACACAAAACCGCGCGCGCGCGTTGTCGCTCGCCCGTGCACTTCGTGTCATGTTTTGCAGAATGGGCCCTTGGCAAATCATGATTTCTGACAAACGGGTGCATGCGCGCACTGTTTTTGGCAGAGGATGGCGGGGGGGGGGAACGGGCCCCGCTGGGATAATGCAAACTCATGCTTAGGATGGACAATGGGGCAGGACCGCATGTAATTTGCCACGGGAGAAGAGGATGGGACAATCCGGGGGGGGGGGGGGGGGGCGTCCTCTACCAAGAAATATTTGTTGTGCACAATGAATTGCCCACTCCGCTGCCCGCGCAATCGCCCCACCCAACCGCCCGCAACTTGGTTTGCAACGTCCGTGCGGCGGCGATTGCGACGAGTGCTTGGCGTTGGCTAGTGAATCTACGCAGCCGCGCCAACCAAAGCACGCGCGTGCAGCGGCCAGCTAGTTTGGCGGTGCCGTCGCGGCCGCGGCGGCGCTGACCGCTGGGCGCGCATCCTAGCGGGCGCTTCGCTGCGAGTCGGCAACTTGGGCGGGCGCGGCACCGCGGCGACGTCGACAGCGGTAGACACGACGATGATAGTAGCGGTGCTGGCGACGATGACGACAGCGGCGACGACGCGGCCAGCGACGGCGCCGATGCTGATCACGCCGACGACGATGACGGCGCCCTCGCGTCGGCGATGAAGGCGTCGGAGAGAGTTTGACATGCGCGCGGCTGTCGCGCGAAAGTGGCCCGTATGGCATTATCTGGCACGGGCGGCGCGCCCCCCCCCCCCCCCCCCAGCGCGCGCGCGAGGGCGCGCGCCCCCCCCCCCCCCCCCCCCAGCACGCGCGCGGATGGGATGGACCCCCCCCCCGCAATGAACAGGTGAAAAATCATGCTCGGTTTCCTTGAGAATTCGAACCACAGGTTTTTGAAGGATTTCGGAATGTGCGCGACGACGCGCGCGCAGTTCGACCCATGTGTTGCAGAGGGTTCTTGCGACAGCACGCGCGGCAGCGAGTTCGAACGATTTCGACATGCGCGCGCGAAGCCCGTTTGGTAGCGCGGTTTCTTCTTAAGAGTTGGCAATTGGCAAAAGCGCGACAAAGTTTTCGATTTTTTGTCTTGATGATCCGCGTTGCGAAGCCATGTGTTTTAGATGTATTTTTGGACACTCGATTTTGAAACCCTTACGGAACCCAGAGTTATTAAAGGATTCCAGCACGCGCGCGCGACAAAGCGCGCGCGTGCACTTCGTCCCGACTTTTGAAAAGGGACTCTTAGCAAAGGATGAGTTTTGATAAACGAGTGCAATGGATGGCGGGGGGGGGGCGGGCACGGGCACCTTCTCGATGGTGGGAGGTCATTTCGGAAAGACGATGGGGCAGAATCATGTAAGTTGCAACACGAAAAGGGGGGTCGATGATCCTTGGGGAGATCCCTTTTAAGAAGAGAGAACTTATGCGACGGCGACGGCGGCGACGGGCGGCGCCGCCCGCAAAAGCCGCCGTTCGCCCCGAGCGGCGGCGACGGCGACGGCGGCGACGGGCGGCACCGCCCGCAAAAGCAGCCACTCGCCCCGAGCAGGCGACGGCGACGGCGACGCCGGCGACGGGCGGCACCGCCCGCAAAAACCGCCCCTAATCCCGAGATGGTTAATCCAAGCTAGAACTCCTAAGTGCAAGCACTGTTTAGGGAATAGTGAAAATTCAAACCCATAGGGTCGACGATTGATCAAAACCAGCATTTGCAACAAATGTGTAAACTACCTTAATGCATTCGACGTGTCCGCATTCGTCTGCTTTGTCTGAACTACGATTTTCACTCAGTTAACTCACTTACTTTTGTTCCGACGACCTTGCGAGCGAGGCCGTGGCGAATTTGGCCCAGAGAACTCGTTCAAGTGTTCAACGAACCCTCAGACACGAAGTAAACGTTTTGATTAACTCATCCTCGATTAAGGCTGGCCGTTGGCACCGCCAGAGAAGGCACCGAAACAAATTAGATACACCGGATAGACACGTACAACCAGTGAAACCTATTGAACCGACTCGCTGCAACAAGCTATCAGGTAACTTAACCGAGCCCTCACTCAGTATGTAATCAAGTTCGGCCATGGGAATAATCAAGCCAGCTAAACGAATATTCAAGTTCGGCCATGGAACCTCATCCAACTGGAACGAGGGAGACATATAACCAAACACCTAGACAGCGAAGGGGACAGAAAACAAACGGATAGAGAGAGGGAGACAGAGAGAGAGGGAGCGACAGAAACAAGAGGAGGACACAACATTGAATCAGAAGAGAAAGAGAGATGAGAGAGAGACATAATATAAGATACTATAAGACAATCTACTATGCTATAAGATAAGATAAGATAATGTAGGATAAGAAAATATAATATAATATAATATACTACAAGACATGTTAATACCATAATACAAGGTAATATACGATAATACAAGATAAGGTAATACACAATACTATAGTATCATGTAATATGACATAACATAAGATACGATACGATACTATAATACATGATAAGATACGATAAGAGCAATAAAAGAGCAAGATAGAGCGAGAGAGAGTGAAATAGAGAGAGAGAGAGAGATGGCCTGAAGCAGCTCTTCGCTGAGCGCCGAGGCGCCGCCGACGCCGCTGCTCTCCAGGCCCTCGCCAGCCAGCGGCAGCAGCTCCGCGACGGCGATGAGGCCCTCGCGGACGGCGGCCGCCGTGCCTGCCGCCGCGACGCCCGCGCCACCCGCGAGCGCGAGGCACTGCGAGGCCGTTGGCCAGACGGCGGCAAGCAGCAGCTCCAGATTTTCTGGCTGCTGCTGGTCCTCTGCGGGCTGCTGCTGCTCCTCGTCCATCTCCATCCTCCTCCTTCTCCGCCTCCAGCTCCTCCTCCTCAATCCTTCTCCGCCTCCTCTCCCTCTCCATCTCATCATGAACACCATGAAAAAAAGCAGCAGCGTGCCTTTGCCCTGGCTGCTTGGCCTGACCGGCGCGGAGCGCCAGCGAAGCCTGCTTAGGCCCCGAGGACGGAGGGGCCCGGGCGCGAGGCGAACAAAAAAAACTCTACCTTGGTCTGGCCGGTGCGGAGTGCTCCCCTCCTCCCTCCTGGCATCTCTTCTTTCGCAAGCTCGGAGCGTGCAGCGCTGGGCCAACATTCTCAGAGAAACGGTCTGCCACAGAAAAAGACGCAACGTTTGACATCAGTTCGTCTTGCTGTGCTTGTGGCTGTGGGACTTGCGAAAAAGATGATTCAGATCCTACCATATCCCTCCTCCATCCCTCCTTCCCTCTTAGACCCTCCCCCTCCTCCATCTATCCATCCATCCATCCATCTCACCTATTGGTTCCCTCTCTCCTTCCCTCCCTCTATCAATCCCTCCCTCCCATCTCCTTTCTCCCTCATCTCTTTCGATTATGTTTCGGACACGTTCGTCCATGGCGATGGCTTCAGCTTCGAAATGCGGGATCCGAGCCTGCATGCGTGAACCTGGTGGACACAGCGATTGGGAAACGAACGGCTTGAGAGCTGTTTGTTGCCTCCCTCCTGGTTCCTCCCCCCTTTCCCTTCTCCGACGGCGACAACGAAGACGACGATGACGACGACAAAAACGACGACGGGGTGCGGCGGCGGCGGCGGCGGCGACGACGGCCAGCGAGGCCGACGCCGACGCCAACGACGACGCAGGCGCCAACGACAACTATGACGACGACGACGACGGCCACCACAACCAAGACCAAGACCAGCGCCGACCAACGGTGACGACGCCACCGCCGACCGTCGGCCACGACGGCGACGGCGACGAAGATACGCCGCGCCATGCCCTGCGCAACCCTCCTCTGAGACGCGGCGTCGCGAGGAAAACGAAAAAACACCCGAACCCTAGACTCCAGGTTCCCGCGGCTCTCTCAGACTGGCATCTCAAAAAATTCGACGCCTTGATCATATGAGGCAAACCCTGGGAGGCCTTCGCAAGCCCCCGGAACGCTCTCGGCGAGGCGCAGCTCCAGGTAATCACCCAGAAGAGGCTAGAGAACCGACGAGAACCGACGGAACGTCCAGAAAACCGCCGAGAACCGACTGGTCCTCGGGGTCCTCGGCGCCGCCAGCCAGAGCGGCCAAAAGAGGGGGGCGAGGGCATGTTTGATCAAAATCAATCCACTGTCCCCTCCAGGGGTCGAAACTGAACAGGTTTTCGAGCCGCATCCAGCCGTGGCGACGAGGGGGCCCTTTTGCCCCCTTTATGATGGCTGGAACCTGTGTCGGGCCACCCCAGCCCCCAGCCAGCTCCAATCCGAAACGACAGAGCCCTCGACGTCGCCCGCCACAGCGGCCAGCGCAGGCGGGACCGACGTCACGCAAAAGCTCAACATCGGCAATATCGTGAAAACCTCGACCGGAGTTTTGGACCCCACTGCAGCACTTTTCGAGCTGGACAGATCCGTGAGGGCCCACGGGGCCCGAAGTAAGGCAAAAGCGCCCGTTGCGAAAAAATGCGACGATTGGATCCCAAGGAAATCAAAAGACACCGATGCCGTTTCCGCTGTTCCCCAGACCTCTTCCAGGGCGCGTTCTGAGCAGAATTTCGAGGCGAATCCAACCATGACGACGAGGGCCTCCCAGGAGGCCCAAAAAGGCGAAAACAAGGAAAGGCTAGCCGCGTCGGTACCGGTACCGTTTCGCCTCTGTCCTCGGCGTCGCCCGCCAGCGCGGTCAGCGCGCCTTCCGCAGCGGCCTGCAGCGCCAGCGCGGCGCGCAGATCGTGGCCCTCGGCCTGCAGCCAGCCCGCCGCCGTGCACAGCCGCCGCAGCGCGGCCTCGGCGCCCCGCCTCCCTGGCATTGTGGCGTGGGGGCCAGGACGCTGCTGACCAGGACTTTGGAAATTCAGCCTGAGCGACGACGAGTAACGCGTCTTACCCGAGATGGCATAGCGATCTTACGCGGTGGCTTACGCGGAGGCCTGATCCCCTTCCTTCCTCCTCCTCATCCTCCTCCTCCTCCTCCTCCTCCTCCTCCTCCTACCCCATATTCCCGTTCCTCCTCCAACTCCACCTCCATCTCCTCCTCCTCCTCCTCCTCTTCCTCCTCCTCCACCTCCTCCTCCTCCTGGTCCTCCGCTTTTCCATCCGTCATCCTTCCTCATCCTCCCTCATCTTCCCCCTGCCCCTCGCGCGCTCCCGTCCGCGCAGGAGCGCGCGCGCACGAGGGTGGGGAGGATGTGGCAGGAGAAGAAGCCAGAGCAGCAGCAGGTACGCAGCCTGAAGAAATCCGTCATGCAAAGCGCCGACGGCCACTTAAGGGTGCCCCACCGCTCGCTCGGAGCCGCCCCTCGCAGCCCGCCCGAAAAGGGATCACGGCGGGGACGGCGCGCAAGCGGAGAAAGAGCACGCGTAGAAATCAGCCGAGCTCCCCCCGCCCCCCCCTCCATACCCCCAGAAAAGAAAAAAACGATCCTGGCGAAGGATCCAGCCGTGTGCAGTTGTAACTACCGCGCTGTGATCACCGCTTTCGGTGGAGCGCCCTATGGGCCCTATGAGATGTGCCGTAATGGTGGTGAGGATGTGCCGTAATGGTGGTGGGGTGCCGCAGTGGGGCATGGGGACGCATGTGGACCCTGCCACTGGGGCCTTCGGTTGAGCTCCGTATGGGGCCACAAAGCGCTGCACTGGGTGGGGGAGACGCAGGTAAGCCCTGCCACTGGGGCCTTCGTTGGGCTCCCTATGGGGCCAGGAAGCGTTATACTGGGCGGGGGAGACGCATGTGGACTCTGCCACTGGGGCTTATGGTGGAGTTCCATATGGGCCACGAAGCGCTTTACTGGGCGGGAGAGACGCATGTAAACCTTGCCGCTGGGGCCTTCGGTGGAGCTCTCTATGGGGCCACAAAGCGCTGTACTGGGTGGGGAAGTCGCATGTAAACCCTGCCACTGAGACCGTCGGTGGAGTTCCTCATGGGGCCAGGAAGCGCTGTACCTGATGGCTCGCGCGCGCCTCTGCGACAGTCGTCGTGAACAAAAACTCTGATCTGGGCGCTTCCTGGCCCCCCGTTGCTGGCCCCGAGAGAGCCTGACGGCTCGAGAGAGATGCCGTCATAAGATGGTGCTGACAACCCAGCTCATGACTTTTCTCACGGCGTGCTGTGCCGTTCTGCTCGGGGCGTCGGGGCGCGGGGCCATTCGCGTCTGCGGTCGGGAACTCTCGCTCAGCATGTCGCGGCGGCAGCCCCGCGACACGCTGTGCCCTGCGAGCGGATGGCGTGTCGCTCCGCTCCGCCGTGCGGGAAGCTGGGAGGGGCTCCAGACGTTGACGCTAGAGGACTGGGACGTGGATAGCGTGTCGCGCCGAAGCGGGGTGGGCCATGGCCGGCGGCGCGACACGCTGTGCAAACGTTCCCGACCGTAGACCTGTGCACGTCCCAAACTCCAGCGAAGCCGACCGATTGCGCAACTAGCATTGCCAGAAGGGGGAAGCATAAACTTTCGAGGGCCCACGCGGATTTCCTGGATCGGCGCTGGACCCCACTCCCTGGTGCGCGGAGAGCGCCAAGGGCAGCCTCCGAGGCACCGCAGGGGGGATCCAACATAGATCCAAGAAGACCGCACGGACCTTCGAAAGGTTATATGCTTCTTCGAGCTGCGCCCGCACGTCGCTTCACACCAGGACGGTCTCAGACAGGCATCTCACTGCAGCTCGGCAGGCAAGGGTCTGTGGAATGCCGCGTCCCTCCCAATGACACAGTCAGTTGCCGGTGCCGCTCCTTGAAGTGGGCATTGCCCGTGTCGACGATGACATCGCCGTCCTCGAACACCCTGGTGAGGTTCTCGATGACGGCGTCTGTAGCCTCGCGGGTGGGCGGGGCGAGCAGGGAGGTCGGGTCGGGTGTTGCCAAAAGTGGTCTTTGGCGCAAGGTGCCCCCATCTTTCGCGCCATGGTGGAGCTTTGGGGCCCTGCTGGGCCTCGTGGGGGGTGCTCCAGGGAGGCAGTGGGGGCCCCCTTGGAAGTCCTGGGGGCCCCTTTTGGTCTAGCGACGCCTGCGGCAGCACGCGCACGGGGAGGGTGGGCGGGAGGGGGGCCCAGACCTCCGACTGCACGGCTCTCCTTTCGGACCGCCGGCCCCTGGAGCTCCAGACGGCACGTGGCCACTTGGCCCCCGAAGCCGATGTTCCACCCCGAACACTCTCTGCGGACGGCCGCGGGGCCCAGACACAGCACAGAGACGCTGGATAGCAAACGCCAGTGGTCTGGCCTCCCCCTCCTGAGTATCGAGCCCCCGGACATGGGGCCACGAGACTTGTGAAGGATGCTCTGACGTGGGCGGGGAGCCGCATACGAACCCTGCAACAGGAGCCTTCGGTAGAGCTCCCTGTGGGGCCACGAAACGTGTGTGGTGTGCCGAGTCGGGCGGGGAGTCGCACGCGAACCCTGCCACAGGAGCGTTCGGTGGATCGGTGGAACTTCCTGTGGGGCCACGAAGCCTGTGAGGGGTATGCCGCAGCAGAGATGCGGGAGAGGAAGGGGAGGAGGGAAGGAGGGCGGGAGTGAGTTGAAGCGGGGCGCTATCTCTTCAAAACGAGGACCCAACAACATTGGATATTTCGGAGGAGAGAACACATCGTTGGAGATCTGGATCCCTCCGTCCCTCCGGGTCTGCCCCCGCGTTCTGGGGTGGGGGGGCTGCGCCTTGCCAGCGGTGACGAGGATGAGGGCTTTGCGCGGCTTGCACAGGAGCTGGGCGAAGTCCTGCGGCGGCGAGGCAAGGGCGACGACAATGATTTGTGTGCGCTCTGGGGGTCAGAACTATTGGGCGGGCCGGAGGGGGAGGCAACAGGGAAAAACCAGATGGGAAAACAAGGTGGCATTGCTTCAGTGATGTCCAAATCAAAACCGTCAGGGGGCCCGCGTGAACTGCAACGCCAAGGCCATCTTCCTGGGCGTCCACTACGATTGTTGTCGCGAATGGAAATGCGATGGCGGCACCTTGCCACAAACGGGCACTCCCGCAGATCGGAAGCTTGCAACGATTGTGCAATATACGTTGCGCAATATTTATGGGGCAAGCATGGTGGTGCAATCTACGTGGTGCAACTAATCTTGACCGTCTTGAAGCTGTCCCCTCCACTGCTCGTGCAAACATCCCACCCTCCCACCCGCAACTTGGTCGCAAGACCTCTTCAGACAAGACCGTGACGGTAGGTACCACATGGCACTTGGCCACGACACCGATGCCGACGACGACAGCGACATCGACGACGACGGCGCCGCCGACAGCGACTGCGACGACACCGACGACGTCTCCAATGTTTTCGACGACAACGACGACGACGACACCGACGACGACGACAACGACGCCGACGACGACGACGAAGACGACGACGACGTCGCCAACGGAGACGACGACGAGGGAGGAGAAAAAACGACGACGGCGACAACGACGACAACGACGATGGAGGAGGGAAGACGGCGACGACGCCAACGACGAAGAAGGAGGAAGGACGGCGACGCCGACGACGACAACGACGAGGGAGGAGGGAAGACGACGACGATGACAACGACGACGAAGACGACGACGACGGCGACGAAATGAAAGGACGACGACGAGACGCCGACGACGGACGACGACGACGAGGGAGGAGGATAACGACGAGGGAGGAGTGAAGACACGACGACGACGACGACGACGACGGCGACGAAATAGGAGGGACAACGACGAGACGCCGACGAAGACAACGAGGGAGGAAGGACGACCACGGCGACAACGACGACGGAAACGACGACGACGCCAAGACGACGACAACGACGACGAGGAAAGACAGAAGACGACGACGGCGACGACGACGACGACGACGACGACGAGGGAGGAGGGAGGACGACGACGACGACGACGACGCAAGAGCGCGCGCGCACGCTTTTGTTGAAAATCCGTGTTGCGAAACCTTGGGTTCTTGTAGGTTTTTTGGACGCACGATTTTGAAATCCTTCCGAAACCGATGGTTTTTGAAGGATTTCGGCATACGCCCGCGACGACGCCCGCGTCTGCACTTCGTCCAATTTGTTGCAGAGGATTCTCGCGACGGCACACGCGCAAGGGCGTTCGACAGATTTCGACATGCGCGCGCGCGAAGCCCGTTTGGTAGCATTTTGCGAAAATCTTGGAAAACCTATGGTTTTCTTAAGATTTCGCAAAACCTCGCGCGGAAGTTTTTTTAGCAAGTCAGTGTTGCGAAACCATGTGTTTTGTATGTTTTTTGGAAACTCGATTGCGAAATCCTTCCGGCACCTAGAGTTTTTGAAGGATTTCGGCATGCGCGCGCGACGACGCGCGCGTGTGCACTTCGTTCCATGTTTTGCAAGGGATTCGTGAAAAAGTGTTATGTTAGAACAAAATATGTCACCGCATAGTGTTTTTTTTTTACAAGGGAACCGCAGGGGGGGGAAACCCGGCTTGGCTGGGATAGTATGAATTCATATTTAGGATGGACATGTGGACATAATCATATGTAATTTACAGCACGCGCGGGGGTCCCGATAAGTCCGGGGGGGGGCGGGGGGGTAGAATCTATTAGTCTTTCAGAAAGGAGAATCGAATTGGTGCAATCGGTGTTGCGAACATGCGTGGTGCGCTCTTTGTGGCGCAATTAATTTGCGCTCGCAATGAATTGCCAACTCCACTGATCACGCAATCGTCCCACCCACCCACCCGAAACTTGGTTTGCATAATTTCATGCGGCGGCGATTGCGATGAGTATTTGGTGTTGGCTGATGCATCTTTGCGGTCGCACTAGACCGCGCTTGCTCGCGCGCGCAGCGGCCAGCTAGCTTGGCGCGACCGACGCGGCCGCGGTGGCGCTGACCCCTAGACACTTTCCAGCGGGCACTTCAGTGCGAGTCGGCGACCTGGGCGGGCGCAGTATCATGGCAACGTCGACAACGGCACACACGAGGATGATAGTAGCGATGCTAGCGACGATGACAACGACGACAGCAAAGCCAGTGACAGCGCCGATGCTGATCACGCCGGCGACGATGACGGCGCCCTCGCGTCGGTGATGCAGGTGTTGGAAGGAGCTCGACGTGCGCGCGCGGCCAGCGCGCGAGTGGCCCGCATTGTATTATTTAACACGGCTCGTGCGCCCTAAGCACGCGCGCAAGGGCGCTCGGGTGAATCCGACATGCGGCGCGAGAGAGCCGCGTGGCAGTACTCAATGAAATGCTGAATGCGTGCGGTTTTCTTTTGGAATCCTCTTCCAACCACTTCTTCCCCTTCGGGGAGGGGTTTACATCTTCCCCCATACCCCTTCCCCTGGGCCTGGACGGGGGGGGGGGCGGCGGGTAGTTGGAGCGCCCCAGATGGCCCAAAGGCGCCTTCAAGAGGGCCTCGGACAGCCCAAGATAACTCCAAGATGGCTCAAGCTGGCACAAGATGGCTTTCAAAATGCTCCAAGAGGGCCCAAGGACGCTCCAAGGCGGCTCCCAAAGGCCTCTGAAACCTCCGAGAAGTTCCCCAAGAACGCCGAATTCTTTCAAAAACGAAGGACAATCAATGATGCGTGGTGTTTTCGCTTCCGATGGCCATCCCAGGCCCCAAGGTGGCTCCAAGATGGCCCAGGAGGGCCCCAGGAGAGGCCCAAGAGACCCAAAACCCAGGAGCGCCAAAGAGCGCCACAAAACCGCCTCAAGAGTGGCCCACGGAGCGATTCTTGGAGCCCCCAAGGGGGGATGCGAATGGAAACTCGCTTTTTTACCTAACAGCGAAGACTGATAGGTTTCGTCGTCGTCGTCGTCGTCGTCGTCGTCGTCGTCGTCGTCGTCGTCGTCGTCGTCTGTCGTCATCGTCGTCGTCGTCGTCGTCGTCGTCGTCGTCAGTCGTCGTCGTCGCCGTCGTCGTCGTCGTCGCCGTCGTCGTCGTTGTTTGCCGGCGGCGAGGTGGGGGGGAGCGGGGGGGGGGGTCGAAACCCCCGGGAGGGGCTTGGGGAGGGGCGGGGGGGGTGTTCAACCAGGGAGCGCGAAGGGGTTCGGACCTCCGGGTTCTTTGGGAGGGGGGGCTTGTGCAGGGGAAGGGGTTGGGGGGGGGCCCCCGGTTCCCGGCCCCCCCCTCAATTTTTTGTTTCGGGGCCGCCCCCTCGATTTTGGCCCCCCCCCATCAGGGATCTGTTTCAGCACGGCCGCGGTGGATCGCGCTCCATCAAACCTGCAGTTGTCTCAAGAACCCGCAGGAGCGCGAACGCAGGCAGTGTTTGAAAACTGTCGTTGCCAACCCATGTGTGTTTATGTCGGTTTGTTTGTTTTTGCGGGGCGCTCGGTATTGAAATCCACGCGAGCCCTCAAAGTGGCGATCGATTCCCGCACTCGCGCCCGACGGCGCGCGCGCGTGCAATTCGCCAAGTTATTTGCGAGGGTCCCTTGCGACAGCACGCGCGCAAAGGCGCTCGAACGATTTCGGCGCGCGCGCGACAGGCACGTGTAGTAGCATGTGATTAAAATGCCGAAACCATCCGATGGTGTTTCAAAGAATACGCAAGAGCGCAAGCGCAACTTTACTTTAACACTCTTGCTGCGACGCCATGAAATATTTGCATGTTTCGGGGCACCCGGTTTTAAAATCCTCACGAAACCTGCGGCTGTTTTCGAAGATTCGGGGACGCGCGCGCGACGGCGCGCGCGTGCTCTTCGTCCGTTCCGTTTTTTGCACGGGATTCTTGGAAGCTTCTAGTTTTTGATAAACAGGCGCGCGCATGGCATTTCCTGGGGGGGGGGGGGGGGGGGGGCGAGGGCAGGGAGGCGACGCGGGTAGAGCTGGGATAATATGAAGTCATATTTGGGAAGGACGATGGGGCATAATGAAATGCGAGCTGCAATGCGCGAAGGGGGGCCCATGATGTCTGAGGGGGAAGGGGGGGATATCCGACTACTCGTGTAGAAAGCAGGATCAACGTTGCGCAGTCTAGGCGGCGCAAGCGGCGAGGTGCAATCTGCGCGGCGCAACGCGCCCTGCCGAACTTGAAGTTGCCAACTCCACTGCTCGCGAAATCATCCCACCCGCCCATGCGCCAGTGATTGCGATGACTGCTCAGCGCTGGCTGGCGCATCGCCGCGGCCGCGCCAGCGCGCGAAGGCTCGCGCGCAGAGCGACCAGCTAGTCTGGCGCGACCGACGCGGCCGCGGTGGCGGAGACCGTTGGGGGCTCCCCAGCGCGACCCACAGCCCGCGCTGACGCGCGGGCACTTCAGTGCGAACCGGTGACTCGGGCGGGCGCGGTTTCATGGCGACGTCGACAACGGCAGACGCGATGATCACAGTAGCGATCTTGGTGGCGAGGATGGCAATGACGACGGCGCGGACAATGACGGCGCCGATGTTGATCACGCCGATGGCGCGTCTACGTGTCGTTGCTGAAACTTGAGGAAGGACTTCGACGTGCGCGCGCGGCCGACGGGCGCGAGTGGCCCGCATGGCATGGTTGACAGGGATGCCCCCACCCCCCCGGCACGCGCGCAAGGGCGTTCGAGTGATTTCGACATGCGCGCGCGAGAAGTCCGTCTGGTCGCATTTGATGGCACTGCTGAGAAAATAAAGGCCGCCCTAGGATATCGCAAGAATGGGCGCTCATAACCGAACAAAGCAGCATGCCAAACCATGTGGGTCCACATGTCCGGGAAACTCGGTTTTGAAAGCCGTGCGAGCCCTAAGTGATTTAAAATATTTCGGGCTGCGCGCGGCGACGCGCGCGCTTCGCCCCAACC